TTGGCTATGTAACCTTCAGTCTCAGCATGTTCTTGAGGATGGAAATAGGACCCCACTTCCAGTATTTTGCTTCACTTAACTTCAGAGGGAAGCTACTCAGAGCTGAATTGGGAAGGATCAAATCTTACAGCCTAAATAATCAGCAGCAAAAGTGATACCCAGGATCTTCATTCCCACAGTGCCCAGCTATAAACACTTGAAAATGGTCCCTTTGCCCTCTGCACCTCTGAAAATGATCTTCAAAACTGAACACCCACATTAAGATGGGCTCCTGAAAAAGTAATAGCTCACCAAACTCGTGAGGTGCTGTAGAAAATTTCGGCTCTTAGGCACCTAAAGCTTAGTGGTGGGGACTGTGGGGTGGAAGGAATCAGGATTCAGCTCTTTCTCATGTGCTCTGTGGTAATCAGGACAAATTCAGTTCTTACAGAAGCAGATGTGACACCTCTGCACCCACTGGGCTCCCAGCAGGGCTGAATTTGCTCCTTAATCTACATTTTCTGATTGCTCTAGGCTGTGATCTTGCAAACTGGTTGGACCTTGGTGCTTGCCTGAAGGCCACAAGGCAGCAGCCCTGCCACGCCAGATTCAGGTGGGGTTTAGTTGCCTCAATTTGAAGTAGAAAAATTTTAAACTACTTCCACTCTGAACCCTAACAATGCAGCAAAGTTACAGATAAAACCAGAGCAAATATAGCCAAAGTCAGTTTAGGGACTTTTAAATCAATCTCTCCACATGTTGAATTCCCTTTTATTTTGATAGGAACCAGACTGATTAATGCAGTGCAGGGAAAAGCCAAGGCAAGGACAACAGCCATTACCAGACTAGATTTTTATTTTTTTTTTAAGTACCAACTCCTTAAATAGAGCATAAAGCAAATTTTCTATACCTGCATACTCAACTAAACATTCACTTCTGCTTTAATCAAATAGTCTCAGTTTGAATCTGTAGTGTGAAGCTTGACTGATAATAATGCTGCAAAGAGAGACACACAATGTAAACAAAGATTTACCTTTTAAAAAACTTCCAGACGAATGGCATTTGTTAGGGATTGAAAATCACTGTAAAAATGTAGCCAAGAAAAACATCTCCAGATCAGTGCTGTCTTTCACAAAGAAAATTCATAAATAAAGGCAGATTAGGACCCAGTCCTGCTCCCAGCACATCAATCTGAGAAGGTTTCTAACTGACTTCAAGGAGAGCAGAGGAAAGCTCCACACTTTCTGATTATGAAAAATATCTCAGGGCCTGAAATGAGTTGAGTGGATTCCAGTGGTTAATTCTCTTTAATGTTAACTCCATGTAAACAACATGTCAGCATCAGTCAAGGTGCTAGGAAGATCTGACCAGAGTTGATAGCTGTTAAACTTAAATATCACACAGAAATGGAAGACACAAATCTAACTCGTTCCTATTATGAAGATTATTATTGACTAATATACCTCTCTCAAATTAAACTGTGAATAATGATTCCTTGTATGTGAAACAAGTCCCAAACTTCTAAATGTTACCCAGGTCACACATAGTTTATTTTGTCTTGTCCAGTATCTATGCCAGGCACATAAACTACAGTTCCAAGGTGGATGCACTTCCTAGACTCAGCCTGAACTGGAGTCTGATGAAATTTGGATGCACATCCCTGTCAAGGATAGTGTCCAGATCTCAGCTTGCTGGTGGCACCTTGACATGTATCTGTTGTCAGCACAGACAGCAGAACTTATGCACACCCTATAACCCAGGTAATGCAGAGGGCAGAGAGCTACTAAGCACATCATCCTGCCAAACAGAGCAGTGACTGGTTTCAGTGCAAAGAAGTGTGTAGGAAAAAATAAACATAGAAATAAGCTGATCAGATCTTCCTTGTCCCATTTCTTGGGTCTCCTCCACAGGATCCGCAGATGTTGACTGCAGAGGGTCTTGCTGAATTTACCACCAGTGCTTTTTAAGAAGACCCAGACCTTGTCTGGCCATTTAGCACATCATTAAGTATTTCATGATGTGGCTACAAATACCTGATCTGGTACCTTTAAGCTGCTATAGCAAATTGGTGATTGCAGACCATAGAAAACACTAACATAAAGGCAGTTCAGCTGCTAAGTGTACACACTGCAGGGCAACCCAAATCCTGCTTTTCTGGGCTGAACTCTGTGTGCAGGTGAAGACTCATCCAAGTCTCTGCCCGTGCTTGGATATACCTTTATAATGAGGTGATTTATGGATTTTCAGCCAGGTTTAATACTGAGAAGAGATTACTTTTATATCACCTGGCATGGCAGAGAATAGAAACCTGAACTGAAGAATTTAAGTGGGAATTGGACAGGGAACTGCATGGCATAGCCACTGTCAAAGACAGTCACAAACAAATTTCTCAGCTTGCACCTGCTTTTTGGCTGCCTTGATTTTTGATTGCTCAGGTCTAGGAAGCTTCTTAAGAAGGACCAAACTCAAATGAAATCAGTAGGAATAACAGGCCCTTGACATACAAAAAAAGTGAAGTAGGTTTGTATAGCATATACTTACACCAATTTCAGAACTGTAGCAATGTTAAAATCAGTTTCCATTCTTTTTCATTCGTCATGTGAGGGTTAAATCTCACAAGCTGCCACATCTGCATTACTGTATCAGAAAGCCTGCAGCAGGTGCAACACAGGTATTTCCATGAATCAGTGATGGCCAAAGAATTCTTATCAATATGCCAAAAATACAATGAATTACACTTTTGTCAGTTAGCTTTATTCTCTGCAAATTTAGCCACAAAACTGCACCAAAGACATATTAGCTTTCAGGTCAATGCCTATTTTGTCAACTAAGTAATTACTAAAATTGTGCCTCATGTCATCATAGTTACTGGCCTCAGAACAGTTCCATGGGCTCAGCCCAGTCTTCAAAGGCTGTAACTGGCCTGCATTATTTACTCCAGTAACAACAGCAATTTGTTCTCCATGGAGATCCATCCAAGAAGGATGCATCATGATTTAGCTGAGAAGCAGATGAAGTAAGAAGATCCTAATCCTTTAGATGTCATTTCCAATAGAGAATAAACAGTGAAGATAAAGGCAATGCCTACATTTGGAAAAGAGCAGAAGCTCCCTGGATGGAATAACTGTTATGAGATGTCAGTGATACCAAGCAATTAAACATGAAGTTTACTATGGTGTGCAAAACCCAACAAAGTATCCTCCATTGAAGCAAACTCTATCCACAGCTGTGCAATACCCAGTAAGTACTGGGAAGCCCAGTAAAATGTTCTTGTGCTCTGATCAGATGTGCCAAGAATGCTCAGTTGTGCAGCTGCAGTATAATACAAGAAGTCACTACAGAAAGTTCACTTTCTAACATCTTACATGGGCCAAATCCTTGTGTCTTTGTTGGTCAGTGCTCTGGCCATGGGGGGGAAGTCATTGTGTGGAGTGACAGGGATCATTCTCAAGGGGAGGTGGGCATGAGCTATGGCAGAGGGGCCACCTTTGATCAGTGGGGTAGAGGTAAGAGCCTTCCCACTGACTGTGTCTAGTCATCTGACATCTGAGCAAGTAACCCACTGCTCTCTTTGAAGTTGGTAGAAATTTGGTCATTGTAGATAACTTGGTTAAAGGTGAGATCTGTCTCATCCTGAAGCTGCCATGTGCCTTGGTTCTTGTACCTTGTGCTCTCTGACTGTACTGCTTCATTTCCCAACAGCTGTAAAGAGTGTACAGCCATCAAACTTGACATCAAATGGAGGCTATTTCATGGACACCTGGATTGACACCAGGTAAGACCTGCATAGCCTTTTGAATACGCTCATTTCACTAGCTTTACATCATGGACACCTGGATTGACACCAGGTGAGACCTGCATAGCCTTTCGAATACGCTAATTTCACTAGCTTTATAGTTACTACATTCCCACTGTAGTGGTGAGATCTTTGACTAATTTCTTCCCAGTGGGTTGAAAGATTTTCCTGCTCCCCCTCAATATAGTATCCGATTTCCATGAAAATGTATTTGGTTGAGGCCTAGGAAGCATATTTATCCCTCTGTTGCTCAGGGACAGGTGACAAAAATGGTGTTTATTTATTCATACATTGATCTTAAATATGGCACACGTTCATGGATTTGGAGCAGTCAATTTCCAAGAGAAACAGTAAACAGAGAGAAACAGAAACTGGCAGCATCCCACACTGTGGGACTCACAGGAAACAGAATAGTAATATTCTGCACATACAAGGAGCTCAAAGCACTTGGCAAATACTAGTGAATTGAGCCTTACAACCTGTGTATATCTACAGAAGTATAACTTTCAATTAACAGCTTAGGAAACTGAGGCAGAGTTACATTATGCATCTTTCTTAGCAGCATGTAAGTCAATAATACACTACACTCAACAATTTTGCTTTTGGAACAGAAAGAAAATTTGGCCCCATAAGTAGCCAATGGACTTCGGAAAAAAATGTCTATAAAATAGCATTGTAATCATGCTTTGAGTAATTTTATAAACACAAGTGAAGATTTTGAAGGTAATTTGAGGGATTTATACTTTTATTTTAAAATAGATGAATACCCCTGATCAATCTCAGACACTCAACAATTTTGCTTTTGGAACAGAAAGAAAATTTGGCCCCATAAGTAGCCAATGGACTTCGGAAAAAAATGTCTATAAAATAGCATTGTAATCATGCTTTGAGTAATTTTATAAACACAAGTGAAGATTTTGAAGGTAATTTGAGGGATTTATACTTTTATTTTAAAATAGATGAATACCCCTGATCAATCTCAGGAGGTGGCTTGATGATTTAAAGTTCTAGCCTTGATTTCATTTCGATATTGTATTTCAGGGGTAACTATGTAAGAGATCACATGAGAAACATTTTCTTCACAAAACCATTTCAATAAGGTCATACTTTGACTCAGCTTTTTCCCTGCTTTTGATATTAGAAGTTCTTGGTTAGGTTGGTTAGAGACTAATTTCCTTATACTGGACAATTATTCAGACATTATGTTTCCACAAAGGGATATTGCTCCTGAAAAGATTTTTACTTTGCTGCTCTGTTTGCAAAATGTAGCAAGGACCACCATATCTTGCCTGGTATCAATTCACCATTGTTGTATTGAAGAGATAGATATGTATCATAGAAGAAATCAGCTGTACCATTTATATAGGGTAAAGTCATGCAAACCATGCTCAAAACTAAGCTCCTTAGTTTTGGTAGCATGAAAAAAACTGCATTAGTAAATTGTATGAAATGGTGCAGAATGACTACCACTAATATCACATGCATCTTATGCAGCCATTGGTGTTTTGAACTAGTAAGCTTTGGGTGTAGAGTAAGTGAGATATACAAAGTATGCTTACATTACACGGAGAAGTCAACCAGTGACCGCCCACACACACACTTTTAAACTGGCTTGTTTGAAGGGGTCCATATTGAATCTGAAATCCCATCTCCTGTAGAAGACAGAGGCATGGAGCCACTTGGTGTAAAAGGGTCTGTGTCTGTGTCTGTTTCCCCCTCTGCTAGGTAGCGTTTCTCTCTCATCCATGCCGATCCCCCATTGGGGCCAAACGGAAAGTCGTCTCTCTCTTGGGAAATACTGAAGCCACTTGGGGAGCGCTCGAGTTCCTCATGGTTGACGGAGAGAAGGGACAACGGAGTATCACTGTCTCTCGTTAAGCTTCTTCTCTGCCTTGGAGACACCTTATCTGAGTAAGGGCTTTGTAGGTCTCCTTGCGAGTGGTAGCTAACCTGGGAGTCCACTAACGTAAATATAGGCAAAACTGTTGGCCTTTCTGCATATGAAGTTGAGGAGGTTGTGGCTTGCATTTTGCCAGAGTTTTGCCCACCTATTGATAAAGGCTGTGAATGAGTCATATGACCACGTGCTGAGAAACCATAAGGACTGACTTTGTTGACTGGAACCTGCTGGAAGTTGTAAGGAGTTTCGCGAGCACACTGCTCAGTGTATTTATATATTATTGTTTTTAATTCAGAATATTTGTTTTCTTCTCTCTTCTCCTTTGCAGGAGAAGCAGTTTCTTTCAATGGACTTATCTCAGCGACTTGTATTTGCAGCTGTTCCATATGATGCATATGCATATCAACAAGAAAATCCAGTTTCTTCCCCATGTCATTAACCTGAAAAATATCAATGTCATGATATTGTCTCAAGTCAGTTGTTCAGCAAAAGAGTCCATACTTCCATATGTGCACTTCTCCCTGCGATGGTGTGCTGCCATCTTTATTGGTCATGAAGGTAATTATAGGGTAATCATGACTTTCCCTCAGAAGCTGGGCTGCAATAGATGCCAGCTTATTGTTTAACTGCCTCAGAACAAGAAGACTTGCCCCTATGAACTGTGCCAAAAAATTCTTAGTGTTGCTGGATATTTAATAGTCCAGTATCCAACAGCAGTCTATAATATTATGACAAAGTCTTGATACCATATGGTAAATAGCTATTACCAAAATATAACAGATGGAATTACCTTTGCATAGAGACCTATTGTCTAACTCTTAATAGTCCCATAACATCAGGGTTAAATATCAGAACTAATTTCCTTTCTCTTCTGCTAGGACCTAAAAGTACCTTTGGGGGCAATGCTTTTGAGTGCCAGAGCCTGCAGAAGAACAGACTGTTCACAACAGAACACTAGATGTGATGAGTATGGAGCTGTGTTGGGTCTAGCTGAGAGGGAGCTCACAGTGCTGTGCTTTATATTGGTAGCTAGAAAGGTGTAGATAACACACCAGGGATTTGGTTACCACTGAGCAGGACTGGCACAGCATCAGTGCTGTCCCTCAACATCTCAGCTCCCATTAGTAGCTGGGGGTGGGCAAGATCCTGGGAGAGGAGACAACTAGGCCAGCTGACACAAACTGACCAAAGGAATATTTCATACCATATGATGTCAGCTCAGATATAAAAGCTGAAAGAGGAGGGGGAAAGAGGGAGGGACGTTCATTATGACATTTGCCTTACAGAGCAACCATCACCCATGCTGAAGCCCTGCTTTCCTGGAGATGGCTGAACACCTGCCTGTCCATGGGAAGCAGTGAATTAATTTCTTGTTTTGCTTTGCTTGTGTGTGCATGGCTTTTCTTTCTCTATTAAACTGCCTTTATCTTGACCCATGATCTTTTAAGCCTTCACTCTTCTGATTCTCTCTCCCATCTCACTGGTGGGAGAGTGAGCAAGCAGCTGTGTGGGGCTTTGCTGCTGCCTGGGGTTAAACCATGTCAGGAGTGTAAGGGAATGAAAACATCCCTATTGAAAACCATGGTTAGGATCTTCTGCCATATGTAAGGATATTGATTGAACAGGTTTCAAAACACACAATTCCAAGTTAAGTAAATTCTTTAAAGAAAAATGAACAGCATAGTTTTGTGTCCATTAGTACAAGATCTCTGTGAGTTTTGATCACCAACAGTACAATGCTGCCTGGGTCAGCCAAAGGCTCATTCAGAATTTACGTCAGCTCTGGCATTTCTGTACAAGCTCCTCAGCCTCCATCATTGTCATAAAATTACATACCTGTCGTTCAACTTTAACAAATTTGCCCATCATACTTTGGTCTTCAGTATCTGCTGTAGATGCTTTGGCTACATATGGATCATTTCTATAAAGAATGAATAACTCTATTAGTGTTCAATGTTTCTTTGCATTACAGCAAGCAACTTATATCAGAAAACACAATTACCATTGGTGATGTATTCATATACATCATTGAAATCCATTTAGGTACTTGTCTTACAAACAGGAGTGAAAGTCTATCCTATGTGTTTATAATGCATTTTCAAAAAGTGTATTCTTGATTTTTAATTTAAATTTTTTTTGCGTTCAAGATTAGGGTAAAGATTAAGAGAAAACAAAAGCAAAAAATTTCAAATTAAATTGAAATTAATCTCTGACTTGATGGAATAATTTAAGGTTTGTGAAAAATATTGAGATAGTGTAGTTAGTGGGTCTACAGCTGGCCATGTGTTTTTAAATCTAATTCTTTATAATTAGCATCTTTGGAGACTGAATCTGAGTTTCGAGGATGAGTGTGTTTTTTTTCTCAATTTCATTAAACCAAATAGTAAGTGGCAGAGACTGGCAATGCTGACAAGACAGTCTGGCCTGGAGATTTAAAGCAGATTCCAAAATAAGTTTTCTTCTATGTAATTTCCTCCTGCCTGTCTATCAGATGGACCAACTTCAGGAGGTAAGAAGATGATCTCTAATTAAAGAGTTTTGATTCATAACTTCATGGCACCTAGGATAGTCAGGATCAAGTCAAACCTTTATCAAATGGCTTCCAAACAAACCCCAAAGGAATCTATGTCTTTCCATAACCTATGTCAAAGTCTACAAAAACATTTTCTAAGCACTTGCTTTTTAACATGGCTTGGAACAAATCTACTCTAAAACTTTCGATTTAACAGGTCCAGTTCATCTCTTTTTGATGAAATAAAAAATATAGCTGTGAATATATCTTACTAAAGGAGAAACTATAACTAAAACATGTCAGATTTTTCATGTTGAGTTACTGGTGCTATGGGCTCATTCAATTTTTGGAATCTGCTTTGTTTCCCAAATGATCATTGCCTCCTCCACATACTTAGGTCTCTGTCTTCACATTTGCATGGTTTCAGATTTTTCACTGGATGGGATAATGTATTTTCTGTAAGACTGCTTTTGTTCTGAGCAACCACAACAGCTTTGGGGACAGATTGTTGATGGTCTTGTGTGGTTCTTCATGGGTATTTATTGACAGATTGATAGTTGTAAACAACAGAAGAAATGTCATTTATTATTGAATTCTTGCTACCAGTAATGCACGAATTCAATAACTTGCTGCAACTTTCACACCCAGAAACTTGGTATTACAATTTATTTTGAGTAACTCTAACCAATCACTGGTTTAAAAGCAGCAGCACTAAAGCTCTCTGCTTGCCATTTGGTGGGGGCTATAATGAAACTTTTTTCACTTCAGGAAGATAACTAATTTGTTTACCTTCTAACTATTGGTAATTTTTATTCAGCTTTTAAGTGGGTTTACTAGTCAAATGTTAGAAATTCAGCACATGAGCAATGAAATGCATGTATTTAATTTAAAAGGTTTACTAGTCAAATGTTAGAAATTCAGTACATGAGCAATCAAATGCATGTACTTAATTTAAAATCACATTTACAAGCCATGGAGAAGCTGAGCTAGACAATTAAGAGCCATTGCTTAGATTTCAATCATACATTTTTCTTAGGGAAGTGAGTGACTTTCTGGTTCAACATTTAGCCTGTATATCTTACAGAAAAATATCCTCTCCGACTTTCTGGTTCAACATTTAGCCTGTACATCTTACAGCAAAATATCCTCTCAGCATCATTATGATAACAGTGTACTGTCTGGAGGAATAAAGGTCATGCTTATTGGTATGAATTAACTTTTTATTTCTGTATTGGGCTCTGCTAAACATTAAGTGCAAAAAAAAAATCACCTGGGAGACTGTTGCGAAGGGTAAGAAAAAGCTCCTCCCTTTTGTGATTTCTTATGCTTAGGAGTAGATGGAGGTCCAGGTGTAAAAATCATATCTACTCTGAAAAAAAGAAAAGTGCAACTGCATAAGTCCATCTCCAAATGCTTACACATGACAGAATATGCTATGCAACTCTGAAGTAAAGATTCTTAAAGGAAGCACATGTTGATTTGTCAATATATTGAGGGTCATGATGTGTTTGTTCTGGTCTGAGTCCATAGTCAATACACTGAATTGCAATAACCTGGTAATTTAATGGCAATTAAGTAATGCACTATCTCACTGTTTCTAAACTTTGACATTTGAAACACATGACTTCTGTTCCTTCAAAGCAACCAAATAGTGCGATTGTCAAAAAAACTGCAATAGCAGCTGCTCTTAAAAATGTCAGGAGACTCATCAGGTTTTGTGCTGGATAATGAAAATTAGAATTCAGTGAAAGGTAGAATTCCTGACATTCTTAATAAACCAATGACATTCTGAAAGTTGTTGTGTCTAATTGTCAACAATATTGTCTTTACTAATCACTTTCTTGGTTTGAAAAGCATACCTTTAAATGAAGTTTCACAAGGAATCCTACTTGACTTTTTATTTGGCACAAGACCAAAAAGATTGCTTGGAAGGTTCTGGCACATTTAATTACACTTATTTACAATATCAAAATGCTCTTTCATTTGGCATATCCAACTGCTTAGATGCAAGTGAGTCTCTGTTCATTCAGCCCACACCCCAAACTGACCACGGATCAGTCAGCAATTGTCCACACACCAGTTATCTGTGTTATCAGACAATCCCTGCAGGTACATTGCATGGATTCATAGTGACCCATGGAGTTTTGAAAATGGAACTTAAAAAAGCTCAAGGCAAACCTCACAAAGACAGCTAGATATTGGCTGGGCCCCCAATCATTTCTGAGGCATCAGTCCATATTTCATTAAACTCCTATGGCTTCTTGCTATTTGTAAGCTCAATGAGTGGGACTCACCTCCCTGTTTTATTCTGGTTACAATCAGTGGAGATATAGTCACCCAAGTGAAGAAAATTTGTGGCACAGTAAGAGAGATGCAGCTGATCACATGAATGCATCTGGTTGTAGCAGAGCTTAATGGGGCCATAAAGCACAATTATGCTGACTAGTTCTCTGTAACTATAAGAGGAATCTCACAAGGCTTTGCAGGATTGTGTTTTTTCTAAAAGACCTCTAAAAAGGTCTTCTCTGTATACATGCATCATGGCTGTTCAAATTTTGCAGTTCTTCTGCTACTGGTGATACTTTATATTGGGGCATGGCATTGCTGAGCTAAACATCACAGAGCTGAGGCTCAACAATATGACTTCATCCCCCAAAGTTCTGCCATAATCACCACATAAGATAGACCAGATCACGTCAGGTACTTTTGCTAGGAGTCACAAGAGTATCTGAGAGATGCTCTGTTGTCCAAAATCATATAATGCCTCAGTTTGAGGTAATGGAAAGCTCTCCAGTATAAGGCATGTAGACCACACCATAGGTGCAGATTTCTAATATCATGAACCCTCCTCAACTTCCTGAGTTCAAAAAGATATTGCTGCATTGAAATCTAAGCTCGTATGATGCAGAGCTCATTTTATAGAGTAACAATGGTGTTTTCTGGTATATAACTAAAGAGAGAAGCTCTTCTAGAGCAATAATGGTGAGGTAGGGACCAGACATGTCTTTTTCAAGTACATAACATGCAATGTACTCATTCAGCTCATTCTTGAGAGAAATTAAGGGAAATTAAGATGTCTGCATGACATTTTGCTGTTCAGAGTAACTGGGACCTTCAAGGAAGGTGGACAGTGCTGTACTGAGATGGAACAAAGACACATGCACACATGTGCACTCAGGCCCAGACAAGACTATGGCCTCAAGCTCTGACCTGTGCTCATGGCCCAGGATGTGAGCAGCACGGAGTTTTGTAGACATTCCTCAAAAGCAGATCACATTGAACCTCTTCTGTGAGGAAACAGCTGTGGGGCAGATTGCACCTGAACAGTCACAGAGGCCTGAGATTCCAGTTTTTTTCAGATAGGTCCCTTTCACTCAGGTGAAGAGAACTTTGGGAAAAGTTTTTCTTATGGACCAGCTACACTATGCAAAGACATTGCTTCTGGGTGGCCTTGTACACAAATAGGCAGAGTATGCTTTCATTTTGTCAGCAAAAGCTGTACATTTTCCCCATATACCAAAAGACTCTTACCTTGCTTGAAGGTATTTTATTCTAGAAAGCATATCAAGATGCCCTGCTGAGTATTGCTCTATCACATCCTTTACATCATAAGGCCTCAAAGTCTCCTTGAATTTTTTTTTATAGAGACGAAACTGTAGTATTCTGCACAATGAACAGAACAAAAAGTTAATTTATTATATAAATTCCATAATGATAATTTCCAGTTTTATCAAATAATTGATGAATACTCTGGGTGTTTGGAAATTGAACATGTTATCTTCAAACAAGGCAAAAAATATAAAGAGAGACTCTCTAACATCATACCACATTTGTAAATATATAATAGTTGGCTTTTCATAAATAATATGCTAGAACAATTGGTTCAAAGCTACAAAATCATGTTTGAAGTTTGATTTTGAACAATAAAAGTCACAGGAAATTTTGAAGCTGTGAAGCTGAAGATGCTTTTTAATGCTTCAGCATATTATAAAGCTAATTTATAGTATATGTAGTGCTTTTCATCTTGGTTTTCATTTTGCACCTGGGAAGGTTTTGGATAGGAAATGCTAATTAGCAGCAAATGTGGATGTTAAGAAGTCAGGAACAGTTCAAGTTGTCAATAGGAGAAAAACTGTTAGAACTGCCTGAAGTGTCCTTGAAAAAACCAGCAGTATAATGTTGTAATGGTAATAAAATCATTGCTGTTATTATTACTATTATTATAAAATATCCTAGTAATTAGGACCACTGCTGGGCAGAGCACCTGGAAAATGATTGGCATTCATTTTTCATTATTTTCTGTTTATACATTAATTTACACTGTTATATCGTGGTAGATTGCACAAATTAAAGAAACATTTAAAGAACAAAATCTTTATCTGTTGTCTTCATCTATTTTAGGCTTGGGATTTGGGAGTTTGTTTTCTCAGTAGAGTCTCCATGTTTTTGTTGGTCTGAATTGGGGAATTGCTGTTGTCTGTTAAGATTCTGGCTTGTTTTTTATTTAAGGTTGATGGGGTTTTTTTTAAATGTTTTTAAAATCTGTATAAACTTCCTTTTAGCAAAGATATTTCTCTTACAGCTTTTTAAGGGCTGCTAACTCTAACTATCTTGCTTTTAAGTCTTTCAAGATTTCAAAATTTTACCTATGCTTATTTTAGCCAAACTATGTATGATAACAGCTAAACTATACATAAAAAAACATAAATGAAAAATAGGAACCACACTGTTAGCAATTTCAATTCAAAATCTCCTTGATCATGACCCTGAAATCCATTAAGTGGTTTTGTCTGAAAGAATTACTTCCCATTAGTGTTCAGGGCCTAGGCAAACTACACGAGATAAAAAAATCTTGGCTCCTGATTGAGTTTAAAGAGAAATTGCATGAATCAATTAGATTTGGACAGGACATGGGGAAGAAGTTTTGCAAGAGTAATAACAGCATGTTTCTGTGTTTGAAAGGAAGGAGGTATCAGGGAAAGAAATGGAAAACTATGGAGGATATAGTAATGAAGAGACTTCCAGTTGGAGGGAAGCAGTCATAGGTAACATGAGCAAAGCCTATGGGACATGGCTTTCAGCAGGCTTGAGAAAACTTGGAATTTTAGTGACTGGTTCTCCTGCATCCAACTGAAAAAGAACTAGGAGAATACATATTATGGTTTTACACTTAAAAGCAAATGATTATATTCTTACAATCATCATCCTAGAAGTTTTTATAAGATAATTTAGGGGCACTCCAGACTTGCAGTATTTCACCTGGAAGGTGGTAGGTCCCTGGCCCAAAACTTTTTAATTTCTGGAATAAACAGCAATTGCAATGGAAGCAGAGCATTTTTCTATGGGGGCATTTTTCAAGGGGAGAGAATAAAAAATACTGTGTTGAGGAGTAACAGAACATCACTGACTGAATTCTATTTGCTTAATATGCTAAACACATTATCAAGGCTTACTAGGAGTTTTCTAACCCTAGGGAATATCTCTTGTGATATGAAAATAGAAGTGACACATGTCACAAGCCAAAAACTGCTGAAATGGAGACCTCAGCATCTATTACAAGATGACAGCTGAAAAATATATTGCACACTCATACAATTGTGAATAAAGAAGAGTTGAGTCAACTCAGAGTTTTCTGTTAAGCAAAAGTGCCAGTTTTGCATAAACATTAGTCACTATATTGAGCAAGACATTATATTTATATAATATTTTAATGATGAACTGTATACAACATTATTTTATAATAAATATGGAGTATCTTGCACAAATGACACAGTCAATGTTACTGAAAAACATTCTCCTGTCTGCATATTTTCAACAGTCTTGTGCTTTTGAATATGTCCAGAATTACCTAATCTATTGCATTTAAAAAAAGCAATACAGCAATAGTGAATCAACATGTACCAACATGGTAATGTGATTTCCTGAAGCAGAAGCATTCAAAATCACAAAAGAAAGAAAGCATTGAGGAGCACTAGAGACGTTTACCTGACAGCTCGGATGGCTGTCTTGAATGTGGGGATCATATCTTCCATAAGGAAATCACTACTGTCACCTCTGTCTTCTGCCATGGGTTCCCCTGTTCCTGCATCTGCAAAGCAGTTCAAAAAAACAGCTATGTGAACATCTGACCACACATATTTAGAGGGATGTCTGGCTGACTAAGGCACTACAAAAATTAAGTGTAATTTAGTAAAGGAACATCTCTTTCAGGTTCCTCTTTTGCTGGACAGCTCCTCAAAGGGATTTAATAATTTTGGGACAGCTTTAAGACACATTATTTGAGGTATCTCCTCTCAGATTCCAGCATTTCTGAAACATTGGGAACTTTTGTTCCTTTCCAATGGATCTTTGCCCAAATTATTTCACTTGGCCACAATTTAAGTTCTCCTCTTACTTGCACTGCTTGGAGCTCATGTACCTTCATGAAGGAGAATAATAAAGTTCCTGTATGGATCCCCAGAACTACATCCATGGTAGTATGCTCAGCCTGCTGTGATGCCAGCTGGCACAATAAAGGGGATTTAGAGACCGTTTAGACACTATAGGCAAGATCTCAGGGAAGCTGAGGGGAAAAATGCCTTGTTATGTTGCATGGACACCCAATGGAAATCTCCAGAGGGGCAGCAGTCTTTGGGAGAGTGGAAGGGAAAAAGCCATTGACTCTATAAAACAGGTTTTATGAGATGACAATGAGGAGATATTTGAGATGCCCAAACACAGGCTAATGCATGGCTGGATGCAGTAGCTACCTCAGCGTAGCATCCCTGCTAAGAAACTGAACCATGATGGAATGTGCTTTTGGGGAACATAGATTTACTGCCCAATGTGCCCTCTTTTTGCAGGTCAGATAGGTTGATTCTATCACTGGCTTTATCCTATATCAATTGCTGCTTTTATAGAGGGCTGATGTCTTATTTCAAGCACTATGTTGTCTGGATTCCAGTATTCATTTCCTGGGGTTTCCCCAAATGTATCATGCAAAACTAGGTACCAGCCATGCTTGGCCCAGAAAGTCACAAACCTTCAACAGAAGATGCAGAGGAACAAAGCAAAATGGGGAAAATATGGGATGAATAGAAAGAAATCAACAGAGATGGCTACCTTCTGAGCTTTGCCAAAAAGCATACGCTTTCATTCGGAATGCAGTGCGAAAACGCTCCTTATTATTCAAGACAATATTCTTAGGCTCTTTTGAAGGACTTTCTTCAATGGCATCTACATTCAGAGGGGTAAATAGCTTTCCTTTAGTATTGGTACCACGAACCCGATCCAAGAGACCCAGCTTTTGGCTACAAAATAAGCAAAAGTAATCATTTTCCTCCTTTGTACACTATTAACTGGTTTTCATGATTCTTTAAGTATATAATGGGCTAAATAAACATTTTGTATACAAGGACACTGCTGGGGCTACCATAATAAATCAATGTCTTTGTAAGCAACAGTTAAGCTCTACAGATAATTAACTGCTTTTTATGAGCATTTTTTTGTATCAATGTTGAAAATGTTACCAGAGGGTCTTGCTATCCTCTCCATGCAAGGCATCACAGTGCTTCAGCTCACACAGCATGCCTGAAGCATTAGATTTATTATTAAGACAAAACACAGCACTACTGCCATGGTCAGGGACACATTCCACTAGAGCAGGTTGCTCCAAACCCCATCCAGCCTGGTCCAGAATACTTCCAGGGATGGAGCATACACAGCTTCTCTGGGCAACCTGTTCCAGTGCCTCAGCACTCTCACAGTGAGGAATTTTTTCCTAGTATCTAATCTAAACCTGCCCTCTTTCAGTTTGTGGCCATTCCCACTTGTCCTGTCACTACATGCCTTTTTTAAGTCCCTCTGCTGCTTTCTTGCAGTCCCTTTTTAGATACTGGAAGGTGCTCTAAGGTGTCCCCAGAGCCTTTGCTTCTTCAGGTGGAACAACCCAAACTCTCTCAGCCTTTTATTCATAGAAGAGCTGTGCATAGTCAGGAGTAAAAGAAAGTCAGATGTGCTGTGAATCAAATAAACTTTCAGGAATACTCTGGCAAGGCATTGCTGAGCAATGACTATGTATATGGCAGAGCAGGCTACCTTGTTCTCACCACCATTCGCTTTCAGCTACCTCTCACTATGCCAAGAATTGGCAGGACCTGTATGAGTTGCAGTGAAGTGTCATAAGTAGCTCTGCTGCTGACTCCTTGCACTGTCCTTTTACAGATTTACTGTCCAAAGACATTTGTCCTTCAGTGACAACACAGCTAGAATTACATCTGCCTACCCTTTTACCAGCATCACTAACCCTCCTGACAGCCTGATCACTGTAGCAATCTTGAAGGCAATCACTAATCCCACAGAAAAGAGCAACAGCAAAGTATTTTCTAGTGAATATGTCAGCTTATATATGTTCTGAATATCTTTTAGGTGATAGATGTTATAAATATTTGATTTGCTTGTTCATTTTGCTGCTCAAATATTTGCTAATTGTGCATTTGCTAAATAAAAGCCCCAAACGTGCAGCACTAAGGCATGGGCAGAAAGCCTCCCTTTTAACACATTCCTGGATGCTGGAGCATGAATAGCTCTAGGGAGAGGTGGATTGTGCACACATGGTCAAGAGGCAGTTCTGTGTGGGACATCAAGTAAAGCAGGTTGAGTGTGGGGAAGGAAGAAAGCACCATAGCTGGCAGGTTTCTGAGAGCCAAAGGACCAACAGCCATAGTGACCAGAAGAAAGGAGATTTAATGGGTATCCAGTAAGGTATCTGTGCAGTACACTCAGCTGAAGCCACTAAACCTGCTGGCAAGAGAGGCAAGTGTGGAGAGGGTCCACCGTGCAAGGCCACAGTGGACAAGGATGGAGGTTTGTTTGCAGACCTTGCAGGTATGAAAGAAGGATTGATTTCTATCTCAGAGCTCTGGCTGTTGCAGTATTCCACCAGAATGGAAGCTCTTAAGACATTCTTCTTAAAATGATAGAGGAAAGACTGAAAGACACATATGATGACATCACAGCTTTCCTAAGAGTGCTGACTCTAGTAGAAATACTGCAATTTGCAACACACAAAATTCCTACCTGATATGAGCATTGAAGATCACAGCTCTGGCAAGTTTTTGTGCTGTTGTTTTGTGGGGATTTATTTTAACATGAATTACTGGGGTTCTCACCTCTATGATGTTTCTGATCAATACATCTTTGACCCAGGAGGTCACAAAATATCACAAAAAGATGCAAGCACTAAACCTTTGGGTAGGATTTTTTTTTCAGTCCTTCTGATTTTTTTTTGTTGATATGACAGCACTTGTGAATGCAATTTCTGCAGCCTAGTAAATTCAGACACTTGCCCTGTCATTGCATGTATAAAGTGCATGTGTGTGTGTGAGTGTGGAAGTGGTTACTAAGAAGGAATTGTGTGAGTATGGAGACACACAATCAGCCCTGATGTATCAGCACATCCAGGAGATAAAAACATGGATTTGAGTGAAGAATTAGAACAGTCTAAGTGAATGATACTAATATTGCTCAGACAAATGTACAGGGCAAGAATCAAGGATTACTTCCTTCTTTGTAGAAAAATATGAAATGTAACTTCTGGACATCTGTGACAAAATACGTTTTGTGCATTCTCACATTTGGGTTTAAGAACTCTTTGTAAAAATGGTTCTCACAGTTCTTGATTTTGGTTTGGAATCTTGATCTTACTGGCCCATTGAGGTGCTCTAATGGCTGAACTGATGGTGAGTGCAGAGTCCCAACAAGTCATTTGTGTGCTACTAAGTTAGGGAGATTCCTGTGACCTCTTTTCTGTGTCACTCCTCTGTTGCAGAGGCCACGTTTGAGAGCAGTATTGCTTTACAAGAGAGATGTCTTAACTCCGTGGCATTTCTGTGAAATTTTGATTCTTCAAGCACTCAGCTACCATATGTAGGAAAAATATATACAGAAGATTACAACTAATGAACACATTTGAAAGGGCATGAAAAATAAAGGTGAGGAAGTCAAAGCAATATAAAGAAAAGAGAGCACTGAGGCATGCATGGCCTGGTAGTGATCTCTGTAGGCTGAAAGAGACTGTGAAATAAACTACAAGAATAAAAAAGCCAAAGCATTTTAATGATGAAGAGATTTGTTCAGTGATAATAAAATGAAGATTTTTTTTTTTCCCTCGGTCTGAAAAAATCATATGTGCAACAGGCTTGTTTTGGAGATCAGCTTTCTCCTGGAGCAGGGATTAGGAGGTCACTGATGATAGATGACTGATATAGATGAATCTCAAATGAAAGGAACAGTGTAGTCCACTTATTTTTTAGGATTTAAGATTCAATTTCAAAAGCTTCTGGAGCGACCTTTCAGGATAAGAAGGATTAAATGTAGCAGTGAAACTCCGATGATTTCAGATGATGTCAAAGGCAAGAAGTGGTCACATACTACACACTGGCTTCAGGCAGCATATTAAATGTCACAAGATTTGAGTTAGTAACACTAAAGAGAAGTTCTCAAGAGAAGAATATGTTTAAGGCACAGAATCTGACAGATGAAGAAACTGAAAACACAGATGAGAGAAGATCGCTATTGTTTATAAAAAGCAGTTTAATACTATATTAGAAGGATATAGTTGTCATTACATGTGGCCTGACTCTCCAGAAACTTGCTTAGTCCTTCTAAATACATATCCAGATGCCCCAAAGCTTGCCCCTTAAAACACCTGTGATAGCAGCCTTCCTTACTAAAAACCAGACACATAAACTGCATTGCAAGGATCTATAGGGATCAGATCAGAAAGAAAAGGATGATGCAAAGAATCCAAAACATTCATCTAGTGAACTTTTGTTTCTTCAATATAAGACAGAAATAGAGGCAAGACATACATAAATCTCTGCCATGGAGCTGCACAAGAACAGAATTGACCAAGATTTGATATCCTCCTCATAGATCAAAACTGATCCGAATATTCCTCTGCATTCAGCACAAGACTAATTATTTCCAGTGATATCTTCTACTGCATATATAGGAATGCTCAATTGTGGGGTGTTTTTTTCCTTTTTTTTTTTTTTTTTGCGGGGTGGGATATAAGGTAGATAATATGAATCAAAAGCATTCCCAAATTCTCTGTCCAAGGAGTTTCTCACCTATCCCCATCAATAAGTATCAGTTTAGGATCAAACTATTCTCTGAAGAATGTTGCTCGAGCGTGTTAGGTTTAGGAGCTAGAACTCATCTGATCTGTCTTAAGCTGTTAAAGAAGTTAAACATCCTGTCTAAGATTAATCTTCAGACCCATTTCTATAATCAGTGGGAAGTAAGCAACCCTAACCAGTGAGTGGAAAGAGGGTGTTTCAACTTGTGATGACTTTACACTTGGAGAACTTGGCTCTTGTTATTGACTACAGAGAGACCTAGATGAGAAATCATTTAAAAAGCAGGTCTCTAGTCTAAGTTAAAGTTACCTGAGCTGAAGCTTTTCTCGTTAATTAAATCCTGCTGATTACCCCTTAAAGTAACATTCAGATTTGTAACAGTATGTTAATGAAATAGATATAGACAATAGTGTTCATATCCAGGCAGCCAGAGCAGTAGAATCATCAGAAAATAATTCATCAGCTTCACATCAAAGAATACAACAGTATGTTGTATACAAAAGAACCCAAAACAAAACCCAAGCTTCTTTCCAGATAAAGAGTAGCTGTCATCAGGAAAAAAAATGGACTTTATTCTCATTTCCAAGGGATGAAATCTGGATCTGCTGGGGTTTTTGTTTTCATTGATCTTTTTAGAAAGACTTAGGAGACATTTGTTCTCATGACACAATCTCCTTCATTAAACCAGCATGCGCATGGCTCATTCTCAGAGTATGAAGCATGCGCAGATCACATCATCCTTCATGAGAGTGGCTAGGACAGTGGTTCCCACTCACAGGTTCAGGTACTGCTGCTTGTCTTTCAGACTCTTCCTACTGCTGTTAGCTACTCTTCCTCCCCTTGGAACAGTGGCCCCACTTCATTTGGCCTCCTTATGTTCAACCAAATGTGATTCCCATCTTCCAGCACAGTTCCAGAAACTGTGGGGATTCAAATGCATACCAAACATGCTGAGGAAAATGCAGGGTGATTTCTCTGTCTAGCTTGGATACATTGCCATTGCTTGTCCTGCATGCTATGGCATCCTCACCCTTGTGGTGAAATAAAAAATTTTCTCAAACCTATGTCTCTAAAATGGGGACCCAGGATAAGAATTCCTTAAGTCTGTGATAGATACAGTTCACCATAAAGGGAGGAAGGTGGAAGCAGTACAGATAGTTTGGCTTGAA